TACTACTCTCTCAGACACAAACCTACAGCTGTTCCTCCAGGAAGTCTTTTGATAGGGAGAGTTTTTATTATAGGAGCCGTAGTTAATATGATAACCCTTTGAAAGAAGACGAACGACACGTAAATTAAGACAGAAAACTATCAGTTTTAATTGTCTCTAATGGAATTTTTAAAAGGAATCCTTTTTTCTTCGGTTGGAATTAAAGTTAAAAAACAACGAGCCAAATTAATCTGTAAGTGATATACTGTCGAAAGTGTGAAATATTGATCCAGTTAGCGTTGCTGATCGTTGTTTTATTTCGAAATCCATTGCCTTTATTTTTCATTTTTTTACCATTATATTTAACGTAATTTTTTGATCAAATCATCAAAAACTTTGGAGAGAATTTCAAATGCAATCTTTCAATTAAAAGAAAAAGACGTTTCCATCAATTGAAAAATAGAATAGTCACATTAAAAACACGTATCACGAAATTCTTTATGTCTCACTCGTTAATGCTTTGTTTTTCATCTAGTAATAAATAGAATAGAAGAATGTGGATGTGGCTGTAGGCGTGGGTTAGTGTGTGGGTGCAAGGACTAGACGCACACACTAACCTACACGCTAATCCACGCCTTCAATCACACCAACACCCCACATATAAGCAAACTAACTAAAAATAATTAAAAGATTTGAGTTTTATCTCTTACTGTAATACAATAAGAGATTTAAACATGAGCTCTTCAGTAATGAGTAAAAAGTTTTTGATTTCATTGATTATTTATACGCACTATCTGATTCTTTTACCAGAGTGGCAAGTCGAGTTTTTAATAGTCATCAAAGCAAGTAGGATATTCTTAAACACATGCGACTAAGTTTTTTTTGTTTTATATGCACGATTAGATATTTAGTTCTATTATCTCTTTGCTTAATTTGTTCATGTATAATTTTAGTCTACTGTTAATATAAAGATGCTTTCTTATCTTTTCTTGTTTTATTCTTATCACATTAAGAATTTATTGCTGAGTGCAAATGATAAAGAGTACTAATTGAATAAAACCGATTGAATTATAGAAGGGTATGTTCGTCCTTAGTCTGTTAATGGTAAAGATAGTTTTATATTTATTATAATGATAATGGTGATGATGATGGAAAGAAATTTTTGTGTTTCTTTCTGCATTCGGTGTTTTTGCTTAGAGACAGACGAATAAATAGATTATGCATCAAAGATGAGGCAGTCATTGTGATTTGCTAATTTCTTTTTCTTTTGTTTTAGCAATGAGTCGTAAAAAAAATTTCACAACATATTCAAGGTAGAATTTGTTTAAACCTTTGGCTCTCGGCGACACATATATGCGTCTGAGTCTATTTATCGAATAAAGGCGTCAGTAGCATATGTTTTAACCGTTTAGAAAAGTTTTTATCATTTGCTAGGGGTGTCATACGAATATATTTCTTCATTGTTTCCTTCTACCTTGATATCATGAGAAGTTTTGACAAAGTTGGAAGCACAAAGACCAACTATTAGTCGAAGACCATCGACAAAACTTTCTCCTCTGTGTGTAACTGCTCGACATTCTCCTTCGCTCACTTCACAAACATTGCAACTAAGATAGTCTCGACGAATATGCGTGGTTTGCTGATGCCATAGTCTTTGACGCGATACAAGATATATGTGTCTCAAATGCAACGTATCTTTATGTATTGGTGATTGCTTCAAAAATTATCATACAAAGGTAAACTATTAGTGTCTTTTTTAACAGAGAAATGTAATTTCTTTGTTAAAAAGTTAAAAACCATATTTAAACATTACTTTTAAAAGCTTTGATTTTCTCAAAAAAAGCCGGGAGCTAAAGGGTTAAAGAGAAGTCAATAAAAACAAAACTTTTATGTTAAAGACATTAAAATTAAAAAAAAACAACATGTTTTTATAAGTTACTTATTTTTGCTTTTTGTTTCATCTTAGTTAACGGTATGCTCTGAGGTGACATGAGTTCTGATCTGTTTGGAATAATACAATTCATTCAACTGTTTTATGTTAGTAAAAAAAGTTTATTTTAATAACCCAATCGTTATTCACACGTTGAAATGTAGCTAGATGGTAGATCGTTCATGTTTCTAAGTATTGTTGAGAACAAAATAGAATTTGCATCTTTTTTAGTGCTTTGTTCACATCAGCAGAGATGAAGAGAAAGCAAGACAGCTATAAATCAGAAGTTTCGAAACTATTTCGACTAAACAAAGTAGAACAGACATACAAAAAAAGATATATTTATATGTTCTATCCAAATTGTTGTTCAAAAATGTATTGTACTCAACTGATATCTTTATTAAGATGGGTAGATTATTAGTAAAAACATGAAAAATAAATTTTACCAAGTTCATTTCTCATTATATTTTTATCTTAACAACGTAAAACAATAAGACTTTATAAGAAGACAAAATAATGAAAACACATCAGAGTGATTTTCTTATGAAAACCAAAAGAAGAAACTAATGTCGGCGCCAGAATGAAAGAGGTGTGGATATAAATTGAATAACTCAACAACGGCAAGAGCTACTGAGCTTCGGTTTTCACCAATCGAAAGAAGAGGAGTAAGCACGTCTTTTTCTCTGATAATGTGTAAGACGAAATCCTTTTAAAGCTAAACATACTCGAAAAACCTAAAAAAGAATCCATGAAATGACCTGGCAGCTGCATGAAATTTTAATTTTGACCTTTTATTTAGATAGAGGGACTTCAGATCTATAGTTCAAGACACAATGCGCTTTCTTACTTTTTCTTACATTTCCATCGAAATCTCAAGCTACTAGGATAAACAGTGGGAAAATTGCGAAAAAATCAGCAAAATGCCCTATTATTTGCGCATGTAAGTGCATGATCCCATTTGCTCAGCGTTTGAATATAATAAGACAACCATTTGTATTGTATTTTGAGCTATAGATCTGAAGTCTCTCTATCTAAATCAAAGGTCAAAATTAAAATTTCATCTAGCTGCCAGGTCATTTCATGGGTTCTTTTTTCAGGTTTTTCGAATATGTTTCGTTTTAAAAGGATTTCGTCTTATACATTATCAGAAGAAAAGACGTGCCCACTCCTCTTCTTTCGATTGGTGAGAACCGCAGTTCGGTAGCTCTTGCCGTTGTTGAGTTATTAAATTTATATCCACCCCTCTTTCATTCTGACGCCGACATTAGTTGAAAATACAGTGAGAATATAGTCCGTTTTGGATCATACTTTAGACATAACAATTCTATCTATTTTCTATATCCGTTCAACTTTTGCATATTCGACACACTAGAAAGGAAAAAAACTCAAAATGTTTCGCATGTATCAAATAATCTTTTATATAGTGAACGTGCAATAGTTGGATGAACTACTTCAATGTACAATAATTTTATAATATATCTATACATGCTAGTAAGCGTTCGATATTTTTTCTTTTGAAGTGAACATATCTCTTGCAGGAAAAATCGTGTATTCCCGTGATCTGCGTTAATTTAAATATAATTTAGATCGATTTCTAATTATGTCAACCTTGTTACTATTTGGTAACAACATTGAGTTTTTATGGGATATGCGCCTGGAAATAGGTGCAACTGTAGAGTAGGATCATTCATACCCATATACACACAAATTTCCAGTAAGAGAGTCGGGATCTATACAACGGCAACGATGACAATTTCTTTTCTTTTTTGTTCATTGTAGTGCTTTCTAACCTTTCAGCCAAAGCCCAATGGGCACTTATTAGAATTAACTTTTGTGTACCAAGCAGCAATGAGAAAATCGACTATGTCCCGCGTCAAGTTTGATGAGAGTGAGCATCAACTCTGGAGTTAGAGTTGTCCATCTACGGTATCATGGATTTCAAAATCCTTATCCGTGATACCCTCGTGACAATATTTAAACCATGTTAGCTCAATGAAGAATTCTCGACATACAAGCTACATAAGGATAACAGCAAGATTCTGATAGAATATTCTCATAATTTAAAAATTTTAGGGCTTGGCAGAAATATATAATTTAGTTGCTAAGATTTCTTTTTGAAATCTTAATAATACAGTTCGGATCTAATTTTTATTACAACTTAATAATAGCTTTCTAAAACATCTTCTAGCGATCTTATTGCTACCTACCCTTGATAAATGAGGCATAAAATCCACAAATCTTTATGTTTTCTTATGGAGAGCTCCGATAGGATTAACATTCGCCTTCTCAGCATCTCAAAACAAGAACACATCAGATACCATATACTCGCATGAAATTCTGTCAATTTTACTTATTTCGCACCATCAGATCTTCAAAACGATCTAGATAAGATTTTATCAAGTTCATTCTTTGAATAACTTGACACAAGTTGGCAAAAACCTAACAAAACTATTACCTGTATCCTCTATACCAATGATTATGAATTTTGCCCTACGATGAGAAAAGCATCCGCAAAGGGTGCATACAGAATTCGTAATTAGCATCTCTCTGGATTCTTTTCAGTTTAGGAGTCTGACAGAATTCATTATATGATTATTTACATCTTCTGAAGATTTAGGCTTTCCAGTACTCTTTCTCAGGAAACCTTCTTACAGCATTCTCGAGATGTATTTTTCATCCATTGTCAATACTCTACTTTTTAGCACCTAAAAGATCGTAGCAACAAGTGGAAGTGACAAAGATGTAAGAATCATTACGAAATCCTTTTTTTAAATAAGGATACTAGGAAAAAGCTTCTGAATTTTTATCTGCGGGCAAAATATTCTCGAAAGTCTTACCAAATTACCCTTGAAGACAAATTCCTGCAAGAGAAGAGGATCTCTTCGACAACAATGATGATGATTCTTTTATGTTTTTGTTCATTGTAGGGGTTCTCGATATTCCAGCCAATGCCCAATGGACACAGAATGGGGTGACTATTGCTGGAGACCGTGGAGCGGGCAATGCCAAGAACCAACTCAGCTATCCTTTTGGTCTCTTCGTTGATAATGATCAAACGATAGTCATCGCGGACTATTGGAATCATCGTATTATGCAATGGACGATGGGTGATATGAATGGACAAGTGGTAGCTGGTGGCAATGGTCAAGGAAATCGACTGGATCAATTGGATCGCCCAACTGATGTGATAATTGACAAAGAAACGGATAGTCTCATTATTTGTGATCAATGGAATCTACGAGTCATACAATGGTCTCGTCGTAGTGGCACAACTCACGGAGAAATCCTCATCGACAACATCAGTTGTTTTGGATTAGCCATGGATGATCAGAGATATCTCTACATCTCTGACAGCGGAAATCATGAAGTAAAACGATATCAAATAGCAGACAAGATTGGTACTATCGTGGCTGGTGGCCATGGCGAAGGTGCTGCTCTCAAGCAATTCAACTGGCCAAGATATCTCTTTGTTGATAGACAACAAGCTGTCTACGTATCAGACTATTACAATCATCGTTTGATGAAATGGAATAAAGGTGCAAAAGAAGGAATTGTCGTCGCAGGTGGTCAAGGCGAAGGGAATACTCTGGCACAGTTGTCGCATCCTAACGGACTGTTCGTCGACACGTGCGGGACTATCTACGTGGCAGATGAGGGGAATCATCGAGTGATGCGTTGGCCTAAAGAAGCGAAACAAGGCAGTGTCATTGTCGGTGGAAATGGTAAAGGAGAAGGAGCTAATCAGTTCCATGGTCCCAATGGTTTATCTTTGGATCGACATGGCAATCTCTATGTGGTAGACTTTGGCAACTTTCGTGTTCAACATTTTTCTATCCAATAGACTTAAAACGATTGCTAATATTTTTCTTTTCTTCTTTCAAATAAATCACATTGACTTGATGAAAGCAATGGCTATTCTATTCTCGTGCGCGACCAGGAAGAATGTGGATGCTCGTAAATAGAAATTCTGCACAACACCTCGTAGCCACAGCCACACCCTTAAATAAATCGCCAAAGAAATATTCTAAGGATTATTAGACTGATTCATAGGTAAAATTTTAGATCGAAATGAATTTTTGTTTTGTTGGGTGATCACTCAACATTTGACGAAAATTTTTTAAAACGTTCATAATTCAGCGGCAAAGGCACATGATGATGAATCTTTTTAGGATTTTTCTAATCTCAATGATACATATTCGTGGTTCCAACATGAATTCAAGGGATGGATAACCATTCGAGCAGTTCGCTCGTTAGCTAACTGATGCAAACTTGCGACAATTTATAAAAAAACAAGACTATCAGACTTCACTTTATACGATCATATAAGGTTGGAAAAGAACTTTAATGAACAGCAACATAAGTAGTTTTCGATCAAAACCAAAATGCAATTTTATTCATGAGATTTATCGCGAAAACTATTGTCGATCTCTATATTAGTATGAATTACCCATCATAATAGGTTCCTACTCAGAAGTTCTTTCATTGGTTTTCTATAGATTCTTGAACACGGATAAAAACGTGTGGGTGTAGCTTCATGTGAGTGTGTGGGTGTGGGTGTGGGTGTGGGCGTGTGGGTGTGGGCGTGTGGGTGTGGGCGTGTGGGTGTGGGTGTGGTGTTCTCTTCGCCCACATCCATCGCCACCTACACCCATATCCCACTCACACCACACTCACACCCATGCCCACACCCACACCCACGCCCACAGTCACGCCACACACCCACACCCACCGACATCCACACCCTTGGAGAAAAATTGCTTTTCATCAAAAAATTAACCTTTATTAAAAGACAGTAGAAGTTTAAATAGCAAATACATAAGCAAAACTTTTTTTATTATATAAAAATTCGATGCACTTCAGTGTGCCGATTTTGAATATATATCTTTTTTCTATCGATTAAATTTTTTTTAAATAAGAGACAATAGGTAGAAGAAGATTCCGGCGACGTTTTGAGGTTGAATATAGCGAGCTTGGCCATGTTATGGAACTGGTTGTTTCGATGAAGCTGTAAGAAGGGTTTCACTGAAAGAAAACAAGTACTCTCTTTAATTGTTTTATTTCTTCCAGCTATTATATTACCAGTAAATGTCTTAGATCTCTTTGAGGATTCAAAAGAGTTCATTTAGAAAGGAAAATATAATTTTATTGAATGTATGAGAAATTATAAATTAGTGTCTATTGGTGATATTTAATAAGAATGATTGTTTAAAAACTTCATATACATATTTCGAGAATATATTAAGTTAAGTTCTAAGAATATTATTTCAATGAAAGATTTGAATTAATTGTTACTTGTTAAATATTTTGTGAACTAGTTCAAAAGAAATCTATCGTAAGCAAACAAAAAGTGGACTAAAAATTAGTAGAATAAAGTCAGAACTGTGTACTTTTTTGGAAAAAAAGATCATTTAAAGAAGTTAAATTATTTTTGACTTGTATAGACATTTGGAAATTTCTAAATATATTTGTTCTAGTGATTCATATTCCGAAAAATAATCTCTACTTTGTAATTAAATTTTCTAATTATCTATGTTTTCCACATCAATACCACCATTTGAATTGAAATTAACATCAGCAGATAATTTCAAATGAGTTGCATTTGAGCTCCAAGATTGACTCAGCGACTACTGTTTCTTTTAATACATCGTACAAATAAATTCTTCGATGAAGTTCTAATTTCTGCTACCACCTACCTGTCTTTCAGAAAGTATTTATGATTGCTCTAAAGTAATGAAAAATCATTTTTAATGACTGGCCAACAGATTTTTCTTTCCGAACGTACCAAGTATTATCAGACTCAGTCTGTTTTTACGGCGGACACTGCTTCACAAAATAGAGAATTCAAATAGTGTATTTTGTACGGTAACGTTTGATGTACCAACTGATACATAAATAAATATTCTAACTGCTTAATTTGGAATTGAAATAATAACAATGTAAAATATTTTGGTCTAAATTAATTTTTAAAAATTTTTCAAAGATTATTTCTCTACTGTCAAACAAAAGCTCAGATAACATTTTAAAGTCGATTATTGAATGGGAGTACCAATTTAAAGTTTTCGACTCTTCTGAAATGCTTTCTAGGGAAGCCAAAGATGAAAAAAACGCTATGTCTAAAAACTTTCCGATCATTAGTTAATAGTACTATGACCAACACTTTTGAAAAGTTTTTTATGTTTTTGTTCTCAATATTCTACCTTGTTTAAAGTCGCTATAACAGAAAGAAAAAGGTCAATGATACCAGAACACGTTTAGTCATTCTCCAAGAGAAAGAGTGTTATTAGCTAGTGCAGTTTGTGTTTAGTAGAAATGTGTTGTTGAATCGGCACAAGTTTTCTTTCTTGATATTGATAGGCTTCTCAACTACAACAAATTTTATTATCGAAAGATTGCCATTCGTCGAAGAAATTGAATTAAATTATTTAATAATCCTTTCTGTATTGTTAGTATACCAAGGTATTGTGAAATCAAATAATATTCATTCAATAATAAATCTCAATATTTATCTTTATAACCGAATCATAAAACTGATTATGTATTTAATTTTTTATAAAATGGAACTTATATTTCTTTTATTTGTGAAAATAAAAATATTTTATTTTAAAAAATCTTTAGATCTATGTTTGAATGTGGTCAATAACCTTCAGTTATATTTCGATACCGTGTTATTACCGTTTTCAGTTAAAAAAATTTCTATCAGAAGGCAACAATCGAACAAAAAAAAGAAATTCATTCGATCGCATTTTTGGCTTATACATTAGGCATCAAAAAAGTGCTTAAAGAACACAGTGCAAATGAATGCATTCTTTTTGTTTATCAAATCTAGAATATTAGATCAAGATCAGCAAATTTTCATTATTCGATCAAGTTTATATCTATAACAAAATCTCTATTATCACAACTCAAGATCCATTGAACAATCTTATAGTTTTCTGTTCTTAAAAGCTGAATATATTTGCTAACGTTTGGTTATGATTAAGATTTTAGCAAACTAGTTCTTTGATTTTCATGATATCAAACTAGTTTCCACTGTTAGAAATCGCGCTCTTTCTGGTAGTGCGCGCAAAATCGAACGTTGTCATCGTTTCGGTCTCTACTATGAATTCATTTAGTTGTTAAAATTCAATCATTCCATTCATGTAATTTGTTCGTACACTTTGTTGTTGCTTTACAGATTACAGCGTCTAGCAGAGACAAAAAACAAAATAGAATTTATAATTGATTTACAAAAATGTAAAATTTTTTCAATAAATTAAGTTTACTCTGCTCGTTACTCATTCTCGAAAGTTTCTCATATATCGATTTTGAACTATTAGTTTCAATGTTTCTTCAAGAGTCGACTTACATGGGTTAGATTTAAAATTTCTCAAACAAATTGTGTCAATCCAATACTTTGAGTTATAAATACTGCTGAAAACAATGATGAAATCGCAAGATCTTTCTTTTTTAAACCTTGTAATTGTATATTACAGTAGATTTTAAAAAAGACATAAATCTATTGATCGATTCATATCTTGAAAAACGAGTATTTCATTTTTAAACTTATTCTACGTATTATTATAAGAGTAGACTGACATTTTTATCAATTCAATTTCACTGAAATAAAACTTATATAACAGGATAAAAAAAGAATATTCCGAAGCACGACAAATTCTTTATTTGTTTATTATTTCTATTATATGCAATAATATTTAATTTACACAATCTACATAAATATTGTTTTCTCTCGAACAAAAGAGTACAGGTATTGATTAGTGAATAATCAACAAAAAGAAAGCAGTCTTGTCTTATGTTTTGAATACAATTATGCTCATACTTATTCATATGCATGTGTAACAAATGAAAAACAAATTATTTGAACAAATTTTTAAAAAAATCTATATGTTATTTTAACTATTTCGAGTAGAATTCTCAATGAAATGAAACATCTCTAAGTTTAGTAAGACTTTTTTTTTATTTTTTGGGTCGAGATGGAACAAGCAAATTGAAGATATAAAATTGAATGTTTTACACAGAAAAAAAATACAATAATAAAACGATTTCAAAAGCGTCTATAATGTTGATTGGTCTAAGTCAGAGAAGTTCTATTGAACTTGAAGATGTTTCATTTTCTAGAATAATCATATGTTCTTGTCTTTCTTATAGTCTGTAGAAAATAATATTTGTTCATTGGAAATGTTCAAAAAACTACAGGCCTGATTTTCTAATGATTGTGTCTTAGAAAGTCGAATAATCATTTTGATTTCTTTATATTCATATGATCTATAGGACATTTTTTCTACTTGAATCATCACGAAGCGTCTAAGACAGCTGAAAAAATTGAATATATACTATGGGTTACAATTTTTGTACAAAAGAAATATAATGACGCAGATTCATCAGTAATACTTTTCATTTTCGCAAACATTTCTGTAAATAATTAATGAAAAACAGTCTGACATAAGGTTTTTTTTTTCTTTTTTATATAAACAAAGCGAAGAATATAAAATGAGGACGGCATCCTTTTTCGTATTCATTTAAGTTAAATTCAATTCTATGAAAAAAGCTAAAGAAGGAGACTCTAATACACTGGAAATATTTTCGGAACCAACTATTTTCAGCATTCAAATATACATATTTTTTTATTATTATTAAGAATTAATTGAAAGCTTATTCATAGTTTTATGATTTATTTTTTCTACTTCTATAATTCTTTTTTAGAATAACAAAATATTTTCGATATCAGAGTCGATTAACTATTCAATTTAATTTGCGTTAGAATATGTCGGCTATACATGTATTACCATCTTCTATTATAGATACTCAATCGGTACAGCCAAAAATGCTGGTAAAAGTATCCCA